AGGGGCGCCACCGAAAACTCGGAATCCGAAAACACAGAGCAGCTGAGCAGGGAGGCATGGAGCCATGGAGGGGAAGCTGGATCGGAGAAAATTTGTGTTTGTGTTTGGTTTTATCGTGAATTTTTTTTAAAGGCAAATTGGGCCCTCCCCGAAACGGGATCCTGGTTTTGCCACTGACTATATGTTATATGTTATATCATCTAGTATATTATATTATATTATATTATATCATATACTATATGTTATATTATCTACTATATGTTACTTTGTCTACTATATGTTATATTACATATAGTGAACAATTTAACTATATAACATATGTTATAACATATACTATATAACATATGTTATAACATTAACTATATGTTATATTATATGTTATACTATATGTTATATCATCTAGTATATTATATTATATTATATTATATATGCACTATATGTTATATCATCTAGTATATTATATTATATTATATTATATCATATCATATACTATATGTTATATTATATACTATATGTTATATTATATTATCTACTATATGTAATATTATCTGCTATATGTTAAATTGTCACTATATGTTATATTATCTACTATATGTTATATTATCTACTATATGTTAAATTGTCTACTATATGTTATATTATCTACTATATGTTATATTATGTACTATATGTTATATTATCTACATATATGTTATATTATCTACTATATGTTAATTATATGATATATTATAACATATGTTATATTATAACACATGTTATATTATATAATATATCATATTATATAACATATGTTATACTACAATATATGATATGTTATAACATATGTTATATTATATGGTATAACATATAGAAGATAATATAAATTAAGTAGACTATATAAATTACAAATTATTCTATGATATGCATAGTATATGTATATGTATATAATTTGTACGAGAATAAACGGAAAGCGTCTGCCGGCACAACGGTACGAGGTGCGCCCAGAGGAAACGGACTCGAATCTGGGATCCTCGTATCATTTTTTTTTATTTTTAGAAACAATATTTCTATAATACGGTTTTCAATTAAATCTTTCTTAAACCGTATTCCCTGAATACAATTTCATGAGAAATATAAAAAAAAAAACTCCTTCTCCTTAAGCGAATAGAGAGTGCAACAGAGAGTACCTGTCACACAAAACCTGTTACACCAAAAAAAAAAAAATATTGTTCCACCATTTACAACCTGTTACACAATTTCAGAACAACCAGCTACACAAAAAACACACAAACAAATCAACTCATATACAGTCCAACATAACAAAAATATACCATCCAAACATAGTCTAACAAATCAAAATAAACAATTTAAAAAAATATAAAAAAAAAAAACACTAACAAATCTAGTTTCCCCACTCATCACGGCGTCTAGATCTATCAGTGCGAGGATGTGAGGACGGACAGTCATCCACAAAATGTTCTGTATTACCACATCTACTACATTGTCCTCTATCATTCTGGCGGCGTGCCCGACAATCCATTTGCATGCGATAACGCTTCGTTTGCGCGCGACCGGGTCCAGCCTTCGTGATTATCCTCTCCCAATGTGGTAGTAAGGTCCATCCGACCAGCGGCCATATGTTTGGATCACCAATCGGAACAACACTCTAATTAGAAAATTGAGCTACCCAGTTCTCCGTCCAAAAGTGGGGATCGTGCAATAACTTCGGTGGAGTATTAAGTTGCCGACACACAGCTATAGCATGAGAGCATGGTTTCATATGTGTCTGCCACTTCAGACAACGACAACGCATCTCGTCGTACCAAACCTTACACCTGTTTTTCCACATTGAATTATATTTATAAACAACTAAAAATTTTAATGAACCTAAATATAGAAATAAAAATTATACAATAAATAAATAAACCATATACCTTTTGTCCCCTCTACCACTCGCCCGTAGACCGATTGTCACCTCGTACAGGGATCTCGTCACGTTCGAACATCTCACCTTATGAGTTGCGGCCGTACTTTCCAATTCGCAATAAGTGGCATAGTGGGTACTAGCAATGGCATTACTGCATCTCGTGGACTTCTTTTGTTCCTACTCAAACAAGTCCAGAGTTTTCATGAATGTGGCGTGTACCAAAGCTCGGCAGAGCAAGAACCTAACACCTTTCAGGACGTTGTTGTAACTCTCGGACATATTCGTCGTCAATATACCCCATCTATGTCCTCCGGCGTCTCCAAGCAGGGTCCACTTGTCCAGAGGAATTTCGAACAGGTAATCGTATGCATCCGGATTAAAATCCGAAAGCCACTCTCGTATCTGATAAAATTTTCGCTCTGAAAGATGTGAACCCAACCCCCAACACCAATTTCGGATTTTGCTATTCCTGTACCTAGTAACCACGTTGCTCCGAAGGTGTCGAAGACAAATCCGGTGATATGCAGCGGGTTCTTGCCAACCCGCCAATGAATCCACGACACTCTGTAAGCCAGCATCCCTGTCCGAAAGAAAGAATATCTGTCTGTCGCCGACAACATGTTGCCGGAGATTTTTCAGGAAAAATGACTAGCTTTCCTTGCTCTCTTCATCCACAATCGCATACGCGATTGGCAATAACCGCTTATTGGCAGTCTGTGCAACGACCACAAGCAACTTCCCCTTGTACGAGCCACGCAAATGTGTGCCGTCCATGCTAATCACCGGCGGGCATCTCTGGAAGGTCTGAATGGCGAGACCAAAAGCCCAGAAAACAAATTTGAATTCTCTGTGCTCATAGTGGGCCGCTATTTCTCCACCCTGCCATTCCCACTGTACAACTGTAGTGGGATTCACGCTTTGAAGCGCCGCAAAAAACCTGCACGTTACAAAACGTAATCGTCAATACATAAACATAGTGAGACAAATAACACGTACGTTTTTAATAATTTTTTTCTTACTGGGGGAGTTGTGCGAAGTTCTCTTCCCAAGTGCCATACAATCGGTCGATGGCTTTTTTCCTCCCTTGCCACGCCTTCTTATAGCTCACATCGACTTTCCAACATTTTTTGACATCCTCCTGGATCAGGGTAACACTGTAGTCGGGTTTCTTTTGAATCTTGGTCATGACAAGATTTGAAATCATCGTGGCGGTTACATTTCTGTGGTCATTTTTGTCGAGTTCTTGCATACAACTATTCCTCTCGGTCCATTTCGTTACTTCCCACAGTTCATGAACCCGTGTGCAGTGCGTCACCCGAGCCTTCCACGGACAAGGTTGATCTTCGTCAGATTTACACACCACCTTGAATGATTTCTTATTCTAATATGTTGTCTTAACCTCC